GGGCGCGGGGCTGCGGCTGCTGTCTGCCAACGTGCGCCAGCTGCACCAGGCGCTGACCGCGCTGCTGAGCGAGGCAGAGCGGGAGCAGTTCACGCACTGTCTGAACGCGTACCACGCGCGCCGCAACGTCTTCGACCTGGTGCGCACCCTGCGCGTCCTGCTGGACAGCCCGGTCAAGCGGCGCCTGCTGCCCATGCTGCGGCTGGTCATCCCGCGGTCCGACCAGCTGCTCTTCGACCAGTACACGGCTGAGGGCCTCTACCTGCCCGCCACCACTCCCTACAGGCAGCCCGCCTGGGGCGGCCCCGACGGTGCTGGGCCAGGGGAGGTACGTCTGGTGAGCCTGCGGCGTGCCAAGGCTCACGAGGGCTTGGGCTTCAGCATCCGCGGCGGCTCGGAGCACGGCGTGGGCATCTACGTGTCGCTGGTGGAGCCTGGCTCCCTGGCCGAGAAGGAAGGGCTGCGGGTTGGGGACCAGATTCTGCGCGTCAACGACAAATCCCTGGCCCGGGTGACCCATGCGGAGGCCGTCAAGGTAGGGCTGTGGTTTGGTTAGGAGTGAGGGACAGTATGGGCAAAGTGTTGCAGCTCTAAAGTCACTTAATGCTGTGTGTCCTTAAGCAAATCACTTGACCTTTCTGAGCTCCATTTGTCTTGACTTTAAAACTGGCACATCTAGTTCATGGGTCAGATGGGTACCAGGCACTGGTGATATAGTGATGCGCAGAACAGACACGGATCCTGACTGCGTGGGGCTTAAAGGCTAGTGCGGGAGATACTATCAAATAGTCGGGCAAGTGCATGATTACAAAGTGTGGAAAAGGCTGTGGATTCTTATGAGCGTTAAAAGAGATACAGTCTCTGCTTGGCGTATAGTTAGTAATCAGTAGGTGGCCTCTGCTGCTGCTGTTGTTATTCTCATATCCTGCAGATTTTTGCCCCAGAAAGTTTTGTTAGCCTTTAAGTGGCTTGAGGAGACTGTTTGGGCAATCCTCCACGGAGCTCTAGCCTAAGCTCTGCTGTTTGTTGACTAGGCTGTGTACCCTGGAACAAGTCACTTGCTCTCTCAAAACCTCTGGTTCTCCAGTTGGAAAATGGAGCAACTGGACCAGATAAGTGGTCCCTAAAATTGTTGGAAATGACGCTCCTGCCTGAATGTCAAAAATAAATCCCCCAGCCCCTGTGAGAGTATTTGTGCTTTTTATGTCTGTTAATTGAGAATAATAATCTCATGACAACAAGCTTCTAGGGATTTAATCATGCTGTTTAAAGGAGTGTGTGTGTTTGCTAATCTCATGGCTCAGGGCTATTGAAAACCAGTTGGAGTATGAGATGGATAGTGTTCAGTCCAGGTGGATTCAAGTATCCCTTGCAGACATTTAGACCCCCTCCCTATTCCCTTTTGTGTGCAAGAAGTGAAGAGTACGGGGGAAAGGAACATGGACACAGGCTCTGCTGCTGCACAATACCCCCCACCCCCCATCCCCACCTTTATGCCCCTGCCTGCCTCCTGGTCCTTCTCAGTGCAGGTGTTTTGAACTCCAGCCCAGGGCCTGCTGACTGCTGGGAAACTCCAAGGCAGCAAATATCTGGGCCACATCCTGTGCTGTTCAGTGACCTGTGGCCAGGTACTCCCTGGCTGTGTACCTTGGACACCACCATCTCATGTCTGACCTTGGCTTCCCTCATTTGCTTCCCAGAACATCAACCCCTTTGATGAGGCCCCTGAGGCTTTTGGAAACTTCTTTGCAGCTTCTGGAAAAAGGCCGATTGGATCAGTTTATATTGTTCGGGGTTGCAGCGGGCAAAGCTCATTGTGGGTTTCCATGCAACAGTTCTCCCCTTTGTCTCCTCCTCCCACATCAATCTTTTCCCTTTGTCTAGCATTCCACATATTTATAAAGAAATAGTCCATTAGCCTTGGCCCAAAAGGTCTGGAGTTCTCAGATGATAAATTTATGTTCTAAAGATACTTGACCCAAATGATCATTTCTAAATGTGGATTCATTTTTAGTGGCAGTTTAAAACGACTTGGGTAACTTAATCATCACAAGGTGATAGACTTTGCGAAAGGCCGTCAGTTAACCTGGACATTAAAAACCACTGACTTTCTCTGCAGTTTGCACCCAGGCTCAGCCATGCCATAAGGGTCAAGCTGCTTGGCTGTGAGATTCAGTTTACCAGCAAGACCCACCTCTTTGCCCCCACCCATTTCATCCATCATGCTCCAGATCTTCTGTCTGAACCTCTCTGAACTACATCTTGGTGCTGTTAAGCTGTGAATCAGAGCAGCACCCAGCCTTTGCTGTTTATTTACTCTTGTTTCTTCCAGAGTAAAAGCTAAACTCTCCATGGCATAGTTTTCGAAGCCTGATAATGAATGTTTACTTGCTGGTGAGAGTGAGGTTATTAACAGGAGCAGAACTATCCTTGAAGTGTGGGAGCCCATGGCACAGGAGCCTGTGTGAGCTGAGTGGCCCTCTTCGTCCCCAAATGTTATTTTTCCTACTGAGGCGGCTGCTAAGGCAGAATGAACTCTTCCCTTGGGGTTGCCTCCTCTTCCGGCCAATGCCAGACCCATAACCTGCTCAAATGGACCCCTTTGGACCCTTCAGAAGCAACAGGCAAAATGAATGCTGCTTTCTGTCACATTAGCTCCAGAGGGAAAAGGGGACAGACTTCCTTCGGTGGGTGGAATTTAAAACGGCAGAACTTAGTCTCTGAGGCCACAGTGAGGTTGCATGATGGGCAGATTGTGTCAGGGACAGTTTAAAAGAACACCTGGAGAGCTTTTGACACATTACCATGAAATTAAGAATGTTAAGTCCCTTCACTGCAAGCCCAAAGGGGTCCCAGCTTCTCCACGAGGCACAAACTGCCCTTAACCAGGGTTTCTCCACTGGAGCCCCTCTTTGTAAGCTGCAGTGCTGGAGGGCAGGGCACTGTGTCAGGGATTTTATGGTATAGGTACATTATTGTTAACTGGAACTTCAGGCTTTATTCAAATTTCACCTTGTTTTCTGCTTAGGTCCTTTTTCTGTTTCAGGATACCATGTTACATTTAGCAGAAAATTTGTTTTCAGTCTTGAAGTCTTCATTTTTCTTTTGTGATGGGAAGAGGGAGAAAAAGATCCTCTGAACTTCCCAAAAGGGGTGATTAATTATGTGTGTATGTGTGTAATAAAAAGAAAATTAAAGTAAAATAAATTTTGGAATCAGGTTACTTAAGTTTATGAATTAGAGGGGATCACAGCTTTTTAAAGAGGGGATTGGAAGTGTTTTCCACTTTTCTTTCTGATAAATCCAGCATCCATTGTTACCCAAAGCAGTTCAATGAGGGTTTTATCCCATATGCAATGGGGCTCCGAGCCCTCTTTTGAAGTCCATTTGCTAAATCAGCAGTGACAGGTCCAGATAAGGCAAACCATTTACTGTTTGCAATTATGTTGAAGTGTTTTATTTTTTTGGAAAATCTATCTTGAATGAACAGGAGCCAAGCTAATAATAATAAAAAAGTAGATCTTTCAAAGGTTTTCAGCCAAATATGCTTGATAAATTGGCCAAGAAATCCACAGACCAGGGATGCTACCTTAGGCTATACTGCACATGTGCTGTGTGACCTTGAGCCAGTCACTGGTCCTCTCTGTGTTCCAGGGTGGATGGGCCAGGGGTGGTCCGTGTTTCCTTCCAGCTCAGACAGTCTGTGATTTGCTCGGTATGTGCTACACAGAAGGCATTTAGAATGTTTAATCTGATGTTTTCTTGTTCTTTTGGAATTGCTTTCATTTAAGGCAGAGTAAGGAAAGTTAGCTAAGGCTTGAGAGATGAGGGTCTTGGCACTCTTGTGTAGCATCCTACTAAATCAGGAAATTGATGGGTTACACACTGTACTGACGAGAGCTTGACTGCTGTCTCTTGACTCAAGAACACCAACCCTGGTGCTATTCCAGAGTAAATGAGGAAATGGCAATAGAATTCTAGCATAAACAGCACTGCCCTGGGAGCACTCAAAACCAAATTCGCTCACCTGCTTCCTTTCTGAGTCCTGGTTATGTGGGTAGCAGAACATGGGGTATCCAGGTGCTGGTGGATGTGTGTATGTATGTGTGTGTTTCATCTCAGTAAAAATTAAAGGGCTTCATTACAGTTTCAGCATCCCCATGAGTAAATCCAAGGAGCATATTAGAATTTGAAATATTCCAGAAGTTAAAAACTGTTTCTGGCCATTTCATTTAATTAGAGTTATTACGCCCCTCCCTTCCTTTGCATAATAACCTGAGAAGAATCTGTCTATATTAATATAAATCATTATATTTGGTCTGACATATTCTAAGTGACACGTTTGTCATTTTTCCATGGGACATAGTTAGCTGAAGCCATTACCAATTATTACCACTTCCAACTTTGTATCTGAAATGTAGCTTCTCCGATTGGTCTCATTGCTGTGTTCCAATCTGGAAACCATGGGTATGCACAGACATTCTTCTAGCCCTGCATTCATTCTTGGGTCCTGTGAGTCCTGCCAGCCATGGCATGTGGAAAGCCCACTATTCATAAACCCTTTATCAAGTAGATTTTTGGTTGCTGCATGTCCAGAGTGTTATGCAGTACACTGAGAGGATCCATTTGTAAAATTTAGTTTTGTATATTAATTTGGTTCAAGCAGATACTGAGGGTTTTAGAAAATTACGTTGCCTAGGTAGGACCAAATCCTCTTTCAACTGGTTATTTACTGTTCAAATCAAAGAAGCATTTTGTAGAGTGGAAGAGAATGCCTTTACTTTTTTTTTAAGAATTGATATTTTTATAGTAGAAGATTCTTGTCTACTGACATGAAGCTGGACATGAAAAAGACATAGAATCACTCCANGCTTCCTTTCTGAGTCCTGGTTATGTGGGTAGCAGAACATGGGGTATCCAGGTGCTGGTGGATGTGTGTATGTATGTGTGTGTTTCATCTCAGTAAAAATTAAAGGGCTTCATTACAGTTTCAGCATCCCCATGAGTAAATCCAAGGAGCATATTAGAATTTGAAATATTCCAGAAGTTAAAAACTGTTTCTGGCCATTTCATTTAATTAGAGTTATTACGCCCCTCCCTTCCTTTGCATAATAACCTGAGAAGAATCTGTCTATATTAATATAAATCATTATATTTGGTCTGACATATTCTAAGTGACACGTTTGTCATTTTTCCATGGGACATAGTTAGCTGAAGCCATTACCAATTATTACCACTTCCAACTTTGTATCTGAAATGTAGCTTCTCCGATTGGTCTCATTGCTGTGTTCCAATCTGGAAACCATGGGTATGCACAGACATTCTTCTAGCCCTGCATTCATTCTTGGGTCCTGTGAGTCCTGCCAGCCATGGCATGTGGAAAGCCCACTATTCATAAACCCTTTATCAAGTAGATTTTTGGTTGCTGCATGTCCAGAGTGTTATGCAGTACACTGAGAGGATCCATTTGTAAAATTTAGTTTTGTATATTAATTTGGTTCAAGCAGATACTGAGGGTTTTAGAAAATTACGTTG